TACTGCAAGGAAAGCAACACTACTCTGCTCTCACCACGAGAGGGCGCACTTCCGAGTTTTTCGACATGATTAGAGAGGAGGGGGTCAAGGAGTGAAACGAGTCGCCAAATATACTTCAGCAACATCTGAAACATGGAGACTGTTTGAGTGGAGCGGCGATCTGTTCTCCTGTGACCAGTTGTGAGCGACGAGAAGTGGCGTGACTGTACTGGCCAGCGAACTCACTTCAATCCTAACATCCTAACAAGCTTTAGCAGCGTTAAATCACATCTGCTCCACACAACTACAGTGCAGTGACAGTGCTCAGTCAGTCATATTTAAGTGTTAGTGCATTCCCAAGCAACGAAAGTGAAAGAAACAGGAAAGCACTGCACTGATTTAAAAAAAAAAGTAAACTGAGGATGCTGTGTGTGTAGCATTGGAGCGTGAGAGAATGCTAACTTCCCAGGCTAGCTGGTTTTAGCAGCTGGCTAACTTGAAGCAGCACTCTGTCACTTAAACAGCACAGTGATTTGATATTTCTGTCGATCAAACAAGACAAAAAAGTGCTGATTTCAGTTTAAACGTAGCTAAAAGGAGGACCCTGTTTGTCTGGTACGAGAAAATCAGACTACAGTTCATGCTTTTACACAGTGAATGTCAGATATTTTCACCCCTCAAACTACTTTGATAGAATACAGAAATCCAGACGTCTGCTAGCTGGTGTTTGAATACTGTGATATGCTCTGATGTTGTAGGAGTGATGGCAGTAAGGCGGTGTGATCCATCACTGACGTACAGAGCCAGCTAATGTTTGCTGTTCATATTAAGCTGATGTTGTTAAGGAACTAAACAGTTTATCACCTGTTACCAGATAGCATAGCAATCACCACCAGACAGCTAAAAATAATCTGTTTTCTTTCTTAAATTATGAATATTACAAAAACTGTGGCCGTGCTTTTACAGCTGATAAAAACAGCTCACGTTAATCAGAAACTTTCTTCCACTCTCCCATGACAGATTTGTGAAATGTTCCACTGTTTGCCGAGTGTTTGTCAAGTTCTGACCATTAAGGATAGTTTAAAACAGCAATTAACCACTAAGGAGCAAAAATCAGCCTTCAGACTTGAAAGAAATAATGATTTGACATTTATTGCGATATGTAATCGATATCGAATGATATGAATTTTCTTTTTAGTGTGATAAGATTTTTGGCTATATCACCCAGCTCTACCACCAGGCTTTCTGGAGGAGTGTTCTCTGGTCATATGAAACAAAAACAGAACTGTTTGGCAATAATAATCAGCGCTGTATGAAGGAAAAAGTGGGAAGCTTTAAATTCAAAGAAACTGCCCCAACTGTGACTCATGGGGGTGGCAGCATCATGTTTCAGAGATGTTTTGCTGGAAATGGGATTTGTAAGCTTCAGAAAATGGATGGCATTATGAAAAAGAAGGATTATCTACAAATACTGAAGTAACACTTCATGACATCAGCCAGAATAATAAAACCTCTGGGTCACAGCTGGGTCTTCCACAATCCCAAGAATTCCAACAAATGAAAGCATTGGAGTGGCCATCACAAAGCCCTGACCAGAATTCCATTTGAAAATTTGTGGACTGCACTGAAAAAGCGTATCTGAGTAAGAAGTAGGGGTGGGGGGAAATCAATTCGTAGACGCATTGTGATGCGGACGTGGGCGATTCTGAATCGATTCACAAATGTCAAAAATCGATTTTCTAAATTTTAATTTACAACGCAATGTTGACGGAATGCAAAAAGCACAACTTGGAACTGCGGAAGTGCAGCACCTGGACAGTCTGTGGCAGCACACAACAAAAACACAGATGGATGAGCGAGAAATACAACCGGCACCGTCTGCATTAAAAGCCAGGTTAGGTCAGGGGTCAACAACACAAATGTTAAGAAGAGCCATTTTGTCCTTTCAACAAAAATCAAACCACATTGGGAGCCACAATAGTTTATGTCTGATATGTCTCAGTGTGTGCTGATGTCCTAGTATAGGCTAAAAATATAAATGAAAATGCAGACTCACTTTGCTCTGCTTTAACCTTTGATATAGCTGCTTTCCTCCCATCTCCAGGAAACTTTTCCTCAAAAGTAGAACAGTTTCTTGTAAAATGTCTCTCAACATTCGACTTCTTTACGGGGCTGAAGTCGCTTCTCACCCACCAGCTTCTTGTTCAAATTTTTCCATTCCACCTTAAATTCTGCCTGAGGTGCCAGAATGTAAATTAGCAGCGTTTAAGACCATTTATTGTTAAAACTGTGTTGAACGATCAGCAGAGCTTTATTTTACTGCAAAGGACAATTACTTTATTTTTACCAGGGCAGTAAAAGAGCCGTATGCTTCTGACCCCTGAGCTAGCATATGGAAGCACTTTGGCTTCCATGAAGTTAAAGTGAAAAAGGGCCTGGACAGAAGCCACACTATATGCAAGTTGTGTCACACTAAACAAAAATATTTTGGAAGTGATAAACATGAGAAACCATATTACATGTTTCCACCTGTTTTCAGTCCTGTTGTAGTTGCTGCCAACCAGAGGACCATCAATGAAGTGATGTCAAAGCTTTCACCCAATTCGGAAGCGAATTACAAACTATCGCAACTTTTATTGCCAAGGATTTGCATCCGTACTCGTTTAGAACCAGGGCTTTTGCACTATGTCGAGCTGAGATACAGTGTCCTGTCTCGAAGATACTTTACTGACACAGCGAACCCCCCACTCTCTACAACAACACCAAAATTGAAGGTATGGAATCACTGAAGAAAATGTGTAGGATAGCTGTTACATGCTGCGTGGACATCCATTGTCACAGGATCTTATTTCACCGTAACTGCGCATTTTATCACAGATGAGTGGCAGCAGCGTCTCGTGCTCCAAACAAGAGCAGTGAATGAGAGCCTTTCAGTTCACTTGGCACATCACTTCCATTTGATTTATTAATAAAAGATAGTGGAAGTAAATTCATTACGGATCATTACAAATACTTTGCTTTAAAAGTACCAGGTCAGCACACGGTAAGAAAAAAAGAAATCCTGTATAGAAAATATTACTACAATTAATCTTCTCCTAAACAAGACACTGACTGGGCTTTTTCAGAATTAACAGAACCAGGTTAGAATTTCCCTGCTGAAAATGGACTATCAGAAACCATCAAGATTAAAAGGTTATGGTTTTGCTTTCTAATAAGAATTGGCTTAATGGTTTCGGATTAAGACCACTAGTTTCCTGTAGAAGACCTTTAGGAAACTATCAGATGCATTTAGAATCAGCCATTGGTCACCTGTTAAACCATTAGAGTCCTTTACACTCTGATATCAACTCAACAAACAAGCCAAAACACATTACAAAACAATCAGGGACCAACAGAAACACTTAATTGTTTCTATGAGTGTTTTCAGCAGGGTTAAGAAGCCCAGTCAAAATGTTTTGTTTTTTTAAGACATAGCAGTACAAACTGTTCGAAGTCCCTATTAAATAGTGGTCGACAGTAACGGAGTACATGTAATTTGTTACTGTACTTAAGTACTTTATTTGTGTATCTGTACTTTACTGAAGTATTTCCATTTTGGGCGACTTTTTACTTTCACTCCACTACATTTCAAAGTCAAATATCTTACTTTTTACTACATTATGTGAAATCTGTTGTTCCTTTTGTCTTATATGTGTATAAAAACGTAACGTCTAAATGAAAGAAGTGTGAAGCAAAAACACCAATCAGGGTACAGCGCACACTTTGTTTTGAGCTTGTTTTGACCTGTTGGTCATACAGACCCAGAGTAAGCATACGGTTCAACGTCAGTGCAGCAGTGTAAAATTTTGGGAGTGTCTGTTCAACATAAATGATGAACTAACCTAACTTTGTGTAAACAGACCACAATATAGAAATATGTACACATATGCAGTTGTGACTAACGTGTTTCTTTTTTCTGGATTTATACAAACACTATTTCATTTTATAGTAAATTTGTTTTGGCTAGTTTATGTTTATGAACAGAGACCTACAGATGTAATATAGTAAAGGAAAACCCATTTGTGAACCTGAGTTTAAAGCAAGTTTTTATTTAACTTAATTTATATATTATATTTAAACTAATTTTTATTTAAACTAAGTTGCAAATAAATCATGTTTGCAAAAGGTTATTTCAGGGCCACTCGGTTCTACCTAATGGAAATTGTTTGCCTTCAGTGTTTTGTGCTTATGATAATTTTAATAGACAATCAGTGACTAATTAATGACATTCTATTAAAAGATTTGTGTTACAAGAGTGACACTGGAGTACTTTCACCTAAAACGAGTTAATGAAGCAGACTCTTGTTACAGAAATGATAAGAGGACATCAGAGTCATAATTAACCTTTTAGTACTTTCACTTTTGATACTTAAGTACATGTGAAGGCAAATACTTTTGTACTTTTACTCAAGTGGAAGTCTAAAGGGAGGAACTTCTCGTTTTACTGAAGTAATATTTTACCTTGGGTGTCTCTACTTTAACTCAAGTACATGGTTTGTGTACTTCGTCCACCACTGCTATTAAAATAGGTTTTAACAGATGTAGATGGGCTGTTTTCCCTCTAATCTCCCTAACAATCACAAATATTCACAAAAACGTTCACATTTTCTGTCTGGACTGACCCGCACTGACTCTCCAACACCAAACTCTAACTAAACCTTCAACAACACTGACAAACTCTGAACCAGCCATTAGGACACGGGAGGATACGAGGACAGAGTCCCGGAGCTGATCTGATCTGCTTCAGTTTAGTCTAACGCTGAAGGCTACTTACTGTCCGAGCAGTCCGAGTATGCCATTGCTGTTGTTGCTGTAGACTGCAGGGTTAAATCGTTAAAAGCATTTTGTTGCAAAATATATTCGAATACAAACGTGTAGCTCCATGAAGACGGAGCTCTGAGGAAGCCTCGACACACAGACTGCCGGACTCCACCCGCTGAGACGGAGTCTGTACACAGGCTAAAACGAAACTGAGAGCCAATCACAACTTTCTGTTCTACCCGAAATGGCTGCGAACAGTGAAGACGGTGAACTGGGTGAGCGATCATTTTTCAAATTTGTGTTTTTTTTGTTCAGCCTTTATTTCGATGCACACAGTTTCAGAACTTTTTCTGTCTTTCGAGCTTTTATCTATCCGTTGATCCATGAGATTAATGGGAGTGACGACCACAACTCAGCTTTACACCAGATCCAGCAGATCCAGCAGCACCAGATCTACGTTCGATTTCAAATCTTTTAAACGTGAAGGTCCGCTCTTTTACAGTAACGTTGTTCAGTAACCTGTAACCAGTTACTCTGCTGGAAAAATACCATTTACCAAAAATATCATCAAATGTTTAAATATTAATATTACAAAACCACCAGTACCAACCAGGAGAAACATATGTGTTTAGGGTTTTGGTATAACACTGTAAATCCTGATGGATAAAAAGAGTTAAACAGGTGACCTGTTACTGATTATAGTCGAAAGACGCATTTGATGGTTTCCTAATGGGATCTAAAGGTATTGTACTGAAAACAAGTGGTCGCTAATGGAAGCCATTAAGCCGACTTCCTTTCCTATTGGAAAGCAAAACTAAAGGTTTTAATCCGAATGACTGGTCTGGTTTTAGGGTGATGCTATTTTACTTTTATTACAAAGCACTGAATACACTGTCCTAAATGTACTCAGTAACATATTCGTTTACAATACATTCAGAGTACATTAAAAGTACATATTAATAAGCCACAAAGAGAAAAGTCAGTTTAAATGAACTCCACTTAATTCACACTGTTCTCGTCACCTACTTCAGTCCACTCCTGCTGCCATAATCTCACTGCTGTCTCATAAACTAAGCAAAGAATTAACCAAATCCCAAGGTGATTCATGGATCTTACTCAGGCAGGATCAGACTTCAGCAGGATGTCCAGTGTTTGTAAACAAGCTGTTTATTGAGTTCTTCTAGTTCATGAACAGGTGTTGATTTTAAAGTTGCTAAATATTTCTTAATTTAGTGGGCTTTCTAAAAGTATTCTCCTAAATATTTAAAAGGTAACTGCAGCCTTTACAAAATGTAGCTTGGACTTTAAACATTTCTGTATTCTGTATACTTTCATTCTGTTACAAACACTGTTTGTTTTCCTGCTGCAGCATGTACAGCTGACAAGGAGCCAGGAGAGACCAGCAGCATGAAATATCCTCCTGAATGTAAGTTCCCAACTGGATGAATAAAGTAACACCAATAAAATAACTTTGAATGAATACAAACTGAAACTAATATTTGAGATTAATTTACCTATAGGCTACTGTTGGAACGGTTCCTAGTAAATATATCTATATATTATTTGTCAGACCGTTTCATTTCCAAATTTGTGTATAGCATTCCTAAAGTATCATCCACCACTTTCTCCATCAGTATAGACTGAAACATGACTGAAGAGGGCATATATGGACTTCATTTGCATAAACAGAGGCTACACGGTAGTTCACTCATACTACAGTTGTTAGGATTCAGTGAATGGCCTGAATTTGTGACCCCCCTAAATTTTCCTAAAGTTTCCTGTTGGAAGAGCCTTCACACTAAGAGCAGCACACTAATATAGAGCAATGGCTAACATGCTCTGTGAGATCCACTAGACCAGGTAAACTGCAAATAAACTGAAATCTGCGACAGTTCTGAGCATGATCTGACTTGATGTAACAAAATATGCAAATCCAAAAGCACCACATGACACTGTTTTCTACCCAACATTATAGCCATCTAGGTGTAGGATACATATAGGCCTGCAGTTGAATGCAAAAAGAATTTGTGTAAAGATAACATTTTTGGTTAATAATAATTTGTTAATAATGTAGCGACTATCGGAGAACCAGGTTCTTAGTCACCTGCTCGAGTGGGTACAAAGTTCCTTTATGTGCATCCAATAAACAAAAGTCCAAACTAAAACTTGCTGTTGGGTGGTGTTCCTGTTTATTGTGACATTTATCTACAGAAAACAAACTGTTTTACCAGAGATGATAAAATATGGTCACCAATGATGAAGATTACAAACTTGAATTGCAGTATTATAATCCAGTCAAGGCTTTGTTTGTTACAGAAATTGTGGTAAGAATTGTATGTTCCCACCACCCAAGCTCCCCCCATTATGTGAGTGTCTGGTGACTAGAGGCACATGACTTGGCACCTGACTTGTCACCTGACCTGTCATCTAGTGCAGCTCGCCCCCTAGTGTTCCCAAGATGGTACTCAAATATTTAAAAAGACAAAATTACACAGAAGCCTAACTTGGCTGCTACAAATAATAATAATAATAATAATAATAATAAATAATAATAATAATAAAAATAAAATAACAATAATCTTTGTTTATATAGCAACTTTACAATGCAAAGTAAAAACAACAGAAGAAGAAAAAAGGTAATCAAAAATAAAATAATCAAATAATACAACAAATACAAATAAAAGCAATAACAGAAAATTAATTAATTAATTAATTAATTAATTAATTAATTAATAATTAAAATGTAAAATAAATGCACAAAATAAAAATATAAATAAAATACAACTATCAAGAAAGTAAAAGTAATATTCCAGTAAAAACAATGAGGGAAACAATTTAAAAAATAATTTTGCACGTTGTAATTTGTTTGTTGTAGTTGCAGGACGTCCGATGAACAATGCATTACTGTAGTCAAGTCAAGAAAACAAAAAAGCATGGATTAACTTTTTAGCATCTGGCAAATGGAGATAAGGTCAAACTGGTGTTGTAATATCCTCAAATAATAAAAGTAGTTCTGGTAATATTATTAATCTGTGGTTTAAATGTTAAATCAGAGTCTATAGTTACACCAAGATTCTTCTCTTTTTTTATTTGTACAGCCAGATTTCCAAGTCTTTCATACACCTTTTTCCTCTTTACTTCACTAACAATTAGAATTATTTTGGTCTTGTCTGAACTAAGTTTTAGAAAATTGCTATTCATCCAGCTAACAATGCTGGACAGACATATGAGCTTCTCTACTGTTGTGACATCATCTGGTGCTGCAGATATATACAGTTCATCAGTGTACCATCTGCACAACTATAAAAAAACGATGCCATGCTTCTTAATAATCTGACCCAGTGTCGACAAAGAAAATACAAGTGGACCAAGTACAGAGCCTTGTAGTACACCACAGAGAATATCATGCTTACCTGAGATATGTTCGCCTATGCTTACAAAATACTGCCTTCCAGTGAAATACTGTATGTAGAGAACTGGTTATCACAGTTTCAGAGAGACAAGCCAAGTTCTCAAGCTGAGTGTTTTATGGTCTACACTATCAAATACAGGAGTTAAATTCAAGCATATGTACAGAGACATCACCTGCATCAGCATTATTCTCAGAATAACTGTTTTAAGTGTGTCTGGAAAAGTGCTTATTTGCATAGAACAGTTTACAATGTCCAACACACTTAGACAAAGGCTTTAAAATAGTTCTATAAAAATGTTGGAATAGGATCTAACACACAGGGGGAGGAATGTAGTTCTGTCTCATTAATCTTTTTTAAAACTATTTGTAGTGTGTCTTTGCTGTCGAATAAAAATAAAAGTAATAAAACGTTTTGATGCTGAAGCCTAAGTGAGATAATCATTGGTTAATTTAGGATTTAAGATGCGATCAACTATTTAAAATAAAACTCTTGAGTTGTGTCCTTTGTCATTAATAAGTTTTGAGTAGTATTTCTGTCTTTCCGTTCATACTGTGTTGTTATAAATGTTAATACAATTTTTGAGAATTTCATAGTGAATACATGGTTTAGTTTCCCACCATTTCTGTTCTGCTTTGCGGCATATGGAAATAGAATATTAACAAAATGTGAAAAATCATTTAGATTAAAAAAAGTCTTGTTCCTCATTTAGTGTCCTCCCTTATATTTTCTCTGTTTTCTGTTTTAAGTGTTTGAACTAAGGATAGTGCTGGTGGGGAAGACTGGTGTGGGGAAGAGCTCTACTGGAAACACCATCTTGGGCCAGGAGGCCTTTGATGTGTCTGATTCTGCCAAGTCAGTGACCAAAGAGTGTATAAAGGCCAGAGCAGAGGTTGATGGCTGTAAAGTGTCTGTGGTCGACACTCCTGGTTTATTTGACACTGACCTGACAGAAACAGCAGTGATTAACAGACTGGTTGAATGTATCACTCTGTCCTGTCCTGGACCACATGTCTTCCTCCTGGTGCTCACAGTGGGTCGCTTCACTGAAGAGGATCAACAGACGGTGAAGAGACTTCAGTGGATCTTTGGTGATAAGGCATCTAAATACACCATCGTTCTCTTCACTGGGGGCGACCGACTAAACAACAAGACCATAGAGGAGTATTTGGCTAAGGCTGGAAATGAGCTGAATCAAGTGGTGGAGACGTGTGGTGGACGCCATCATGTCTTCAACAATGAGAACATGGCAGACCGCACTCAGGTAACTGGACTGATGGATAAGATCTTTAAGATGGAGTCGGAAAATGATGGTGGATGCTACACCAACGAGATGTATAAAAGTGTGGAAAAAGCAATTCAGGAAAGAGAGAAAGAGATGAGAAATGAGATGGACAAAAATGTGGAAAGAGCGATTCAGGAGAGAGAGGAAGAGCTGAGAAATGAGATGGAAAATCAAGTTAAGGCCAGAGATAAGGAAATAGTCCAGCTACGCTGGGAGCTCAGAGAAAGAGCAGAGAGAGATGTGAAGAAGAAGAAATTTCCACAGTTCAGAAAAGTCACAGAGCAGTGTAAACAGCAGTGATAGTTCCTCTTCCTTAACAGAGCAAACCTAAATTTGTTCAGCACAGTAAATACAAATTTAAAGTATGCATTTGTAGATATATTGTTGCTGTCAGAACAAAACCTTATATCTCCAATTTTGTTGTTCTTTTTTTGTAATTTTTTTTTTCATAATGTAAAGGACAGCTGGTATTTTAATATTGTGTTACAATTTCATGATGAATGGCCCAAATCCAGTTCCATTATCTTCCATTCATACTATTGCCCTGGATTTTTGCCCGTTCTCTGGACACTGACCCGTTTCCTCATTTTGCCTGGGTTTTGCTGCTCTGGCCTGAGTTTTTGATGCCTTCGGTTGTAATGTTCACTCCTGCCTCACCTTATCTAGACTTTCTAAAGACAGTGATTAGCTGGATCAGGTGTGATGGGTTCAGGTTGGAACTAAACTCTGCAGGATAAACTGTAGAACTGTAGAAAGCGGTGTTGGTCATCACTAATTAATCAAGCAGAGAAGAAACGTAAATAGCAATTTAAAAATCTAACACCAGGTAGAGCTCTTACTTCCATTATTTCTCTATGTTGCTCAGTCTTAGGCCCAATCCCATTTCTTCTTTTTACCCATACCCCTTGTTTTCGAGTGTCACCCTAACCCCTTGGAACTGAGTTACAAGTGCTGGACACTCAAGTCCAGAGTTGTGCACTCCTGAAATAGTGCTTTAAGTGTCCATTTGGGATGCAGCCATAGGCTACAGGTCTCCCTATGGGAGGTTTAGTGCACTACTTGATCGTAAATATTGTATTTTTAGTGCAATATTAGGGCCATTTGAGATTCAGGGTCAGATTAGAGGTCACTCACAACATATCAGCAGATTCCACACAGAGCCCCCCACATGCCAAAAATGATATGTAATTATAAAATAATAATAAATAAATAAATAAATACAGTGAAGTTAGTTATTATTTCACTGGAACTGGAACATCTGATTTTTTTTTTTGTTATTTGAAAATGAATAAAATGAGCCGTATTAATGTGTAATATTATATTTTATTTATAAAAGGTTGTTTACGATTTGAATAAAGATTTCTTTGAGTCATAATGTAAAATCAGAAGTCGTCCTACAGACATTTCTTCATTTATTTGTTTAGTCATGTGCTCTTATTAAATGGTTACTCATTCATCTAATGTTTACATCTGGAGTGGATTTTCCCAAATATGTGAGCCTCCCTGAGCTTTGAGCTCTTTGTAGGGTTTTTGTCTCTGTTGACACTGAGAGCAGTGAGAACAGACAACAGATGATAGTGTTGTGAGGATAACACAATATCATACAACAGGAAAGATATGAGGAATATAGTCATAATTATACTAAGGAGAACAGCTGTTGTAATAAATATCATCACATTAATAATGATGTGTAATAATAGTGCAAACTAAATCAATACTGATGATGATAAAAAATCAATTATACAATTAATACTATTAGACGATACATCAGCAGTTGAATGAGCTCCCTGAAACCTGCTGCATGATCTCTAATATACAGCAATACTGTTTAATAACTTCTAATTCAGTCTCTCCACAAATCCTGCTCAAGCAAAGGAGACATGCTAGTCTCTGAGTATCTCACTGTTTTAAATACATCACATTTACTGAAACAGTTCGTTTGTATTTATTATTCAGAAACGCTCTTCATAAACTCAGCAGGTTTGTGAGACACACTGACAGTCTTTACTACCTTATTACTAATTAATGGATTGGGGCCGCAAACTCTTATTCTATCTATCTATCTATCTATCTATCTATCTATCTATCTATCTATCTATCTATCTATCTGTGATGGTTTAGTCAGGCCTGGGCAGTTTTGTCAGAAGGTGGTCCCAGATCAGAAGAAAGTGCCTCAGATTCTTCCTTGTTTAAAATTGGATAACAGCAGAGAACCTGCTGAGAGGAGAAGTACTGCTCTTTTCCGGGTTTCAGATGCTAGAGGGCGCTCCCGAGTGAGTCTAAAATGAACGGGTTGATATGGAACATTTGAGCAAAATCATAGTTTATAAATGCTTAAATATTTTAAATACAAAAGAACACGATAATTTCCTGAACACAGAACAGCATGAAACATTTTAACACTGCTGTTATAATTTTAAGAGCTTTTAAACTCGAGTTATAGGAGTTTAAATTGGCACCTCATGTATCTTCATGACGTCAGTGAGTGCGAACAGCCAATGAGCTGCTCTGCTCGCCAACCAATCAGCGCTCACTAGCAGTAATGCTAACCAATCAGTACTCACTAGCAGTAATGCTAACCAATTAGCTCTCACTAGCAGTAATGCTAACCAATCAGCTGTCAGTAGCAGTAATGCTAAACAATCAGCACTCAGTAGCAGTAATGCTAACAATCAGCACTCAGTATCAGTAATGCCGCCTTCTGCTGGCCAAAAACCCGTTTGCTGTAGAAAAGTAAACATACAGGTGAGTTTTCTTTGTTGTTTTAGTGAAAGTCATTCTTCTACTGTCTAAGTCTTACTTAGTCTCACTGACTCAGATGAAAGGAAAGTTCTGGAGTGATTAAAACTGTTTTAACTGTTTGTTTTTAGCCGTTGAGCTCCATTCACTGAGGACTCCCTCGCGGGCGCCCTCTGCTGTTCAGCAGTCCTGGTTTTGATATAAGGGGGAACAGGAAGTGGCCAGACTCCGTAAACCGGCTCTGGTAAAAGTCAGAACAATAAATAAACAAAGGAGGAGAAGAAAAGCGCGGTTTTCTGGGTGGAGAGAGAAAAGTAACAGACACATTAAGCGGAGTCGCTGTCTGTACTGCTGGAATGTGCAGTGTAGGCGCTGAAGAGCTTTAATAGCTTTTCTGTTCTTTGAATTTCCAACATGAAGATCAGAAAAAGGCCTCTTGTTGCTGAATCAGCGTTTGTGACTACAGACTTCAGAGTCGCTGGTTCTTCTGCAGCTCCAACAGACGCAGCCTCGACTCTGCGCTGTGTGCAGCTGATCAGAGAAACAGGCTGAGCTCCGCCCGCTGGTTCAGTCTGAGTCACTGAACGGAGTGAATATATGAATACAAAACGCAGTGAACAGTAAATAAACGCGCTGAACGCGTCTCTGAGTCACTGAGTGCCGCTCCGACACAACAGGCCTGATTATTTCCCCGTTTAGACAGTTTATGATCCGGAGCTCAGAGCTGAACACACCTCTCCTCAGCCGCTCACACACACTGAGGGGGGACCCGCGGAGCGCGGCGATGACGTCACTGCGCGGCTAAAATGAAAGCCAACAGAGAAAAAAAAGAAAAAGAACAAAATAAATTAAAAAGTCATAAAAATATATATGCAAACATTTAATTCTGTAATTTTGTTGTGTATTTAAATGACATTAAAATGAGAGATTTTAGGTGAAATTATTAAAACTACATTTAAACCTGTTACATTAGTAAAAAAGCATTAAATTAAAGGTTAAACTGATCCGTGTAGTGAGCTGGCTGTTAGTGAACTGAACCCTTTAATGAGCTTAAACTGATTCTTGCTCTGAGTGCAGATTTCATGGCCTCCAAACAACACATTACAGTACTGGGTGATGTTTGTGGATCAGTTTAAAGACACTTCTTTGATTTAGTTTGTAGTGAAGTGTTTTTGAAGTGAAGTCCAAACCTCTAATTTACTAATCCACTCCAAAAAGATCAATCAGAAGGAGGAGAGATAAAGTCTCTCTGAAAGAGAGAAAGTCTGTCTGATGGGGTTTTTGACGCTTCGAAAAGCTCATTTTCCCATTAGGGGAGCGAGACGGATCAATCCTGATACACCTTTACTCAGCTGTGAGATTCCAGGTGGGACTGCATTAAAAACTGGAGATGATAAGATGAGAGAAATTCATGATCATTTAAAGTCTTTCTGAGTCACCAACAGAACATTGCTGTAAATCCAGCTGTTTATGATGTTCTGTTCCTGTGAAAGTCTTTATTGGTCCATATGAAGTGGTGGATGGAGAGAAGGTGTGTCTGTAAGTTAGTGACGATGCTAGGAGGGCTTTCTTGTGGAAAGCTGACAGTTTCACTGGGATTTTGTTTCATTGCAAATCAGAAAGTTTAATTCACCTAAACTAGAAAACTGTAGTGTGAATTAAAAACCATAATGATGTTCTGAAAGAAACTCTTTAAGCTGCGACTCCAAACACCGAACTGTAATGTGGGAAGTAGAAGCTCCTCAATGATGTAAAGCCTGGAGTTCAGCACATGATAATAATAATAATAATAATAATAATAATAATAATAATAATAGAAGAAGAATATGAAATGTGGTGAACAGTGATTCTTAATGTTAATATAAACAAAACTCAGAGTTTAATGTTGTTTAGTGAACCAGAAACAATTTACTAACAGACCAATCACAGCTCAGCCCTTCATTAAGTGGGAAAGACATTTTTATAACCTTGTTTTTTATTAATCTGTTCTTTTAATGTACTTTATATTATTTATTTTGATGTACTTTATTAATATTATTTTATATTATTTATGTTTTTTTATTATCTATTTATTTATTCAATAATATAACAATTACAATTTATTTATACTTTATTTTGTTTCCATAATAATAATAATAATAATAGTCATAAAATAATTATTTTATGATTCATTTTCATTATAATTATAATATACATAATAATTATTAGTGTCATTATTTTTGTAAAGTAAACAAATGATTAAATAATAATAACTATAGATGTTTAATCTGTAATGATTATAGTGATGTTATTATTTAGTCATATATCTGTCTGTGTGTGTTTGTTCTACAGTGGTCACTATTAGGAAGTATAGCTGCTCTTCATTATGTAGTAAAGTGCTCTGCTGTACTGAAGGCTTGTGATGATTTATGCTCCTTTATAAATTGTCTCTGCGCAGCTTCTACACACAGTGCGGTAATTTGACCTGCTGTCTTTAGATTTGCGTCATTAAGGCGCCTCCGCATCTCACGCGTTCCTGCTGGTCACCAAATGAGACGCTGATCATGAAGAGACGCGACTGACCTCAGCTGGTCTCCAATGACCGCAGCAGGATGAGTCCAGTTTAGATGGACAGTCGGGCTCCTTTCTGCAGCGTTTTGACTGTGAACAGTGAAAGCGCTTCTTTCCGGTCAGAGACCGCAGTAAAGTCGTCTCGCGGTCAGCGGTTCGGATTTCTACCGGCTCGAGCTCCGGACTGCAGTACCGCACATCCACAAACACTGGTAGCTTCAAAAGTCGAGCTCTCAGATAAAGAAACCAGGTTCAAACTGTTCAGACTGACCTGTGAAAAACCTCACAGCTCTTATTCTGCCCGGCCGTGGTCTGAGTAGAGCGCGAGCCCGGAAAGGGAAAGTCAGTGAAATATGGGCGTTTTTTGACCTCGGCAGGTGATTTTCAACACTAATGACTTCAAAATCTATGAAGATGTGATTCAGCAGAGCTCGGTTTGGAAAAGATTCACAGACGGATTTTGTGCTATTTGATGGTTTTATTCAGGTCTATTTCCGTTTCCATGCAGACAAAACTGGATATTTCTATTATTTCCCAAACACTGACACAGTAATACACATGTAAGGAGATGAAAACAGGCTGAATTATTTGTCCGTCATTGAATAAAAAGCTGTCGCACAAAAAAGCTGAAAAAATGTGGTTTTAACTTTGGAGCCCAGTTTAATATAAATACACTGTAATAATCATGCAGTGCTGGTTTTCAGCTGATTTATGAAAACTTTCTCAAACACAGTTTGGTAGATTTGAGTGGTTTATGCAGTTCTGCTCCCATTTTCATGTGTAATCACACTGTAGTTCAGCTTTTGGGCCCAAATATAAAATATTAGTGTCTATAACTTTAATAACTGAGATGAATGGAGGTCAAAACTGTTCACCTGAATCTGAGATGGTTCACCGTTTTTCCACCTCCTGTCCTGCTTTTGTCATTCACTGCACTTTTCTGATGAAAAATCTGTCTTTGGAGTAACTTTTAAAATGCAGCCATTTTTATTAGCAGTGTTATGAACTTGTTTTAGTGACTGGATAATTTTTTGGAAACTTTCATTGTTTTATTCTGTGATGTGGACATTTTCTCCTGTGAAATGTGGTCCAG